GCAAGCGCAGCACAACCCCCAACTCAGATCTGAAAAAAAATCAGTGGATGGTCGTTTTCTGACTGGTCGGCAGAGCGCCGACCGGTCGGCCCTACTGGTCGGCGCAATACGGTTGGCCGTCGGGGTCGGCGGTCGGCAGGGGTGCAACCCTGGCATGCGGGGAAAAAAGCGAAATACCCGATTCCCCGATTGAGATACTGAAGTGTATTCTAACTCAAGGCGACAGGACTCGAGCGTATGACTTTCTGTACCGGCAACAAATACGCTACCAGACTTCACTACATCTTGGTTGTGCTGACCTCGTAATTCATCGCATCGATTAGCCGTGTCACTACCATCTTTACCCGAATGTGATGTATGGTCATTATCGCTGTATGAGCCTGTATCTAAATTCTAGACTGGAAATTGCCCGAAAATTCCCAAAATACAGCTAGAATAACCGTCCGTTTTATTCGGGGGAAGACGGTAACTACCATCTACCGTCTTCACGCGCACAGACCATACGGTCATTAGGGCTCTTAGGTTCTATCTAGACTTGAAGTTGTGCCAAATACAGCTTTAATGACCGCCCGTTCTATCCGGGGGAAGATGAGAACTAGGATTGGATTCACTGGAAGGCCCATCTGGTGGGTTTCTGCCCTGGCGAGCACAGGGCCATGTCGTGACTTCCACCCCTGGCCACCACAGGCCCATGGGGTGGCTTCCAGCCCTGGCAAGCAAAGCACGACATTGATACAACCACTTTATTTATTTATTTTAATTATTTGTTTATTTACTTATTTATTTAATAGCGGCTGCTATACGGTTCTGCAAATGGATTTGTTCAATTTTGTTGTCATTAACTGCAACTGCTATATAGTTGTGTAAAGGATTTGTTCAATTTTGTTGTCATTAACCGCAAGATAGGATTTGGAAAGGGAGGGTAAAGCGAATGATTAGAGGCCTCAGTGGTGAAACACCCTCGACCTATTCTTAAACTTTAAATAGGTAAGATTTCGGGGTTGCTTAAGCGAACCTCAAAAAAAAAAAGGATTTGGACAGGGTGTACCTGACAGTCGAGTGTGGCAACAGCTTCTGGATGAGATTCTGACAAGAGTCGAAAAAGACTGTCAGCAAGCCCTCCTTCTTTTGCCTCCATACTCTGCACATGTGCAGTTCAATGCAAAAACGAATAAGGAGTTTGTGTGTTTTAGACTCACCACAACCAGCCCTTCTCCACAATGATGAGCATAGCAGAAACCAGCCGAAGCATACTGTGTACTAACACCCTCTGGTAGCAAGAGACTGAGGTATAGCCCAACGTCACTGCAAGAGGACTAAAACAAAATGAGATAGGGGTCCTTCGGGACATCCCTTAAAATTGGAATGATACAGAGGAGATTAGCATGGCCCCTGCGAAAAGATCGAAATTAACTTTGTAAGTTTGTACACGTTTAGTCCTTCAGGACATCCGTTAAAATTGGAACGATGCAGAGAAGATCAGCATGGCCCCTGCACAAGGATGACACACATAAATCGAGAAATGGTCCAAAAAAAAAAGAAAAAAAAAAAGTTTGTACACGTTTCCTGACTGCAATGGTGGACAAATATCCAACAATGTATTTTGGCTGGCCGTTGACAAAAAATCACAAAATTAATAATATATTTATTATATTCCGGTTAGGACCTTTGGGTAGCATTTGACAGAGGAGAAGGGCTGACATTTGTTTCTAAATGAAGGGTTTTTTTATTTTATTTTTTTTTATTATAAAAAACAGGACCTTACGATCCTGGATCCTTTTCCATTCTGGGGAGCGTCAGTCCGGTTCCTATTCCACCGGCAAGTCTGATAAGCATTACAACAATAACGCACTCACGCTTCCTTCCGTCTGGCCGAAGGACCCCTGCAGAGCATTGATTACTCCAACGTAGTGGAGGATCGACTGTCAGCTTGCCCTGCTTTTCTCTTTCCTCTCAGGTCTGTTAGCTAACCTGCCAGATATATCATGAAAAATTAGAAAGAGCTGAGCAGCTACTCAAGCTGACCCTTGTAACCTCTCCTTGAAAACCTGCCCGTATGCCTCAAAACCGTCTTGCCTCTCCTTAAATAAATCTATTTACAAAGCGGTCCCAAAACCCTAAACCCTAAACCCTCCTTTTGAAGTTTTGCATGGGATCCTCCGAACCATCTTAGCCCGTCAGCTCATATGGCCTGCAGTGGGACTTGTTCATTTGGTACCTGGAGCACTTGTCTTTTCCACCCCGTATCAGAATTTAGCCGGTCTTTCCATTGTATATGGACGTCGGTCAGCGTTGCCACCTTGCCTCCTACCATCCATTCTGTGAAGAATTTTCTTTTGAATTCTCCTCTACTCTTCTTCATCGTCAGGCATGGGCTTTCTCGTTTTGTACCATATACCAAGGATCTCTGCTTGACTCAAAGTTCTTGCCTCCTCCCGTACCTTCTCCCTTGGGGGTGCACGGCCTTCAAAAGTTCTGCAGCACCTTTCCTTCCAGATGGACCACAGCCTTACCTTTCTCTTTTTTGCCTTCCAGATATCCCGTGTTCTCCCTCTTCCAATCAGAGCGCGCACCTTCCACTGCCTTCTGAAACTGGACAGGGCTGTTAGACAAGGGGAGAAATTGGAGGAGATATGACGGGGAAAGGAAAGAAGATGTGATTAGGATGAAGAGTCCGGCTTTTTCCGAGGTGGTGGATTAGTATAGTCGACCATAGGGGGCCGGGTGCTTGAAAGCCGATGAAGGACGAGGAGGTGAGGTTTGGAGGGGGGAGGGGTGTCGTTGTTTTGTTCAGGGTAAGGTTCCTTCTCTTTGTACCTATCTAAAATTGTTGTGATTAGATTACTAAAAAGTCTTAGTACATTTTTCACAAATTCAATGTTATTGCTATCTGGTCCTTTGACTCTCTGTTCAAATATCTCGATTAGATTTCGGATCCTTTAATTCATACTTGCGGTGCATCGGCCCTGTGGGCTGCGCGGTGCGCGGACCCGAGGTGTGTGCGCACCGGCGCGCGCCGCGGACCTGGGTGCGCGGTGCGCTGCGCACAGGGCCGGTGCGCTGCGCGCGGGTGCGCTGGGGGGTGCGTGCTGGTGGGCCGCATATGCGCCAGGTGTGCACATCATATATTTTTTGTTTTTTTTTATATTTCGTTGCGCGCGCGCGCGCGCGCGCGAGAGAGAGAGAGAGAGAGAGAGAGAGAGAGAGAGAGAGAGAGAGAGAGAGAGAGAGAGAGAGAGA